CAGTTCTGTCCAGTTCGTCAGGCCTCCTCCAGCACTTTTGCTGAGGAAAAGTTCCAGCCTGTAAATCACAACAGGCTTCGAGTCTCAAGAATTTATGCATAGCAGTCTACGCTATAGTTTATTCTACTGTAACTGTACGTGTTAATGTACGATATATGTATTTATGTATCTGTTTATGCATTTTATTTATTTATATATTTATATATTTATTTGTATGTTTATTTATACATTTATTTATGTATTTATTTATATATTTGTGTATTCAACTAAACGTAACTGAAATACCGAGAAGATTAACCTGATAACCTAACCTGAGTCCCACAACGACGTAGCTGGCTGTTATGTCCCTGCGGGGTCTTTGACTGCAGCAGCGGAAGACAGTGAAGAGCGTTAGTGCTTTATTTACTAATTAAAAGCATCACTTCAATGGAATGAGCCGGAGTGTCGCATTAACTAACCAACGGAGAGAGAACATTAATCGTATCGAGCTGGCCAGTTGGTGGCGCTAGTCTTATCAAGGCGTGACGCGCGTTGGGTTTGAGACTCCGATCGCCCAGGGTTCCCAGAAGAGGCTTATAAAGCGTAAATTAATGGAGGGAAAAAGAGGGCAAAGGGAGTTAGTAAGTGGGGGCGACAGTTAAGTAAAATGTGGAATTATTTCGAATATAGTAGAAGTGTTAGGAATTAGTGAGTGGAGGGAAGTAGGTCGAGTACAGCTGACAACTTTTCCATTTGCTTTGACCAATGCTCCATCGTCGTTTTCTGGTCAGGTTGCTCGCAATCCTCACGTCCATCTTACCCTCAAATTTGGGTTAATAATCTAATATATATGTCCCAAAAAAGTAAGTATTTTCGTACTTATCATTATCAATAGTGTACGTCGATGAAGTTGGATCAATTGAGCCACCAAGTGTACCACCGATGAGGACAACACCCTTCACCGATAAGTGCACAGATGTTGCACTCAATGATAATGATACGTCTTTTTTCGAAATTATCTCTGCACATGTGAACACTGCCGTTACATCCATTGCTGTTTGCGACCACGCATATTTCTTCTTACCCACCTGTGATGGTTTCTCAATTCCTGAAAATACAGGAAAAAAAATCAGAAGAAATTTAAATCAGGCAATAAAAAAAACGAGCAAATTCTAGAAAAGTTACCGGCTACACAAACAGAAGACCAGGAAGTGAGAAACAACAGATGG